CTCGAACTCCTGAGCTCAAACAATCCGCCAGCCTCGGCCTCCCAGAGTGCTGGGATTATAGGCGTGAGCCACCGGGCCCGGCCGCAACTTATTCTCTTAACAAAAGAGTTGCTTTCGTGTTGGTCATTCAAAGTACTTAGTCCTTAATTGTATACATTTATGAGCAGATTAGATTATCGTGTCTCTCCTCTAGCACAATGCCTGACACATAATGGGCAATCAGTGAACATTTCTTGAATAGACCAACTGGCCATATGATAGACGAACTGGAGCAACTAGCTCCCTCCAAGCCTTCGTTGAACCAGCAGTTCCCCGCGAAAGGTGTTCTCAGGATCCCTGAGGTTATACAGGAATGGAACGAGGAGGTGGAGAGCCTCTCCACTCGACCCTAGTCCCGGCTTCTCCTGGAGACAGGAAGACCAGAGGGTTTGGGTAGACCACTGCTCCCTTTACTATATGCTACTACGCAGCAGCGTCCGCCGAAAGTGATGAAGTAATGAAAAATCGTAAAGCTGAGGGGCGGGAAAAGTGGAGGTGAGGGGATCAGCCTTTAGGCAGAGCCCTCCCTTAAGCTCCCGCCCGCGGCTCCGAATCCAGTCCTCTCCGCCGCCGGACGGCGCTACGCACTGAGCCTTAGACTCTATGATCGCGCCCACTGACTCCCATGAGGAAGTGTGACTAGGCACCGCCTATATACTTCCGTTTCCGGCCCGGCCTCTTTCTTTCGTTGCCGGTAGCGCGCACGCGAACATGGTAGGTTCTTGGTTTGGGGGCCTAGTAACATCCAGCCTAATCTTCCCCACTGTGTCAAAAGGTGCTGTCCCGGGATAGGTCTAGGCCCTTGCGTGGACTAGATGTATGAAAGCAACCCAATGTTGTTGGGCTCGACCCCGAAGTCAGGAGTTGAAGTGATGGGATCAGAGAGGGAGCGCTCTTCCTTCTTTGGGGCTTGACGGAGGGCCCTCTCCTTGAAACACCTGGGGCTGGACCACCTTCTAGTCAGGGCTGCAAGAGCGCTGTGTGTTAGCGAGGAGTTAGAGTCGGGTCCGCGTGAAGTGCCTCAGCTTCGGCGGGGTTGGGTAGGGTGTTGTGCCATTGTGATAACACTGCATGTTCTGAACGGTTTGTGTACTAGGTGAACGTTCCTAAAACCCGCCGGACTTTCTGTAAGAAATGTGGCAAGCACCAACCCCACAAAGTGACACAATACAAGAAGGGCAAGGATTCTCTGTATGCCCAGGGTAAGATGGCTTCTGCGTAATATGGTTTTAATGTGGCATTTATGTAGTAGGGTAATATTCGAGACCAGGTTTGGTGTTTTTTTTTTTTTTTTCCTCCCTCCCTCGGCATGGGCGTTAATATTTGTGCTGGGAAGCCTAAGATAAAACTTGTAAAAAGAGTTTTCCATGTGGTTCTTGTGATTTGTGATCTTCAGTATACTATAACAAATAACACTTTGTTTTCCCAGGAAAGCGGCGTTATGATAGGAAGCAGAGTGGTTATGGTGGGCAGACTAAGCCGATTTTCCGGAAAAAGGTTAGTGGTAATTACTACGTGACATGTTTCCCACATAATTGTGGTAAGGACTGTGCATTTGTCATCTGTCGTTTCTAGCCCCTAGTCTCCATACCTCACAATATCGTTATAAGGTGTCAGTGAGGTTGTTACAGTTGCCTGCAGTGACATCACTAGTATGAAATGAAGCTGGGAGTACAACTCAGGCCTGACCCTAGTCTACAATACTACACTATTTCAGTGTTTTACATTCACATTTTTTTTTTTTTTTGAGACAAGGTCTTGCTCTGTCTCCCTGGCTAGAGTGTAGTCGTGTCATCATAGCTCACTGCAACCTCAAACTCCTGGGCTCAAGTGATCCTCCGACTTTGGCCTCCCAAAGTGCTAGGATTACAGGCTTAAGCCACTGTGCCCAGCCTGTTTCACATTTTTCATCCTTTTCTGAAGAGGCAAAATATCCAGGAATGTTCCCTGCTTTCCTAAAAACTGAAGTGAGTACACCGATAAATCCTTTCATTTGCTCTGTCCTTATCTGTCGTCATAGCTGAATCCTCAGCTCTTGGTTGCAATAAGAATTGTTCTGTTATTTAGCTTTTCACCACAGAAACCTGTGGTCTTCTGTCTCATGGAGTCTTAAAACTCCTTAGAATAGCCATTTAGCCTTCCAATGGTCTCCTGAATTCTATATTTGTTTTCAGGCTGAATGAGTTTCTGTTCAAACCTTAGGTGATTTGGCTACCACATTAGCACAGTGCCTGGAACATAACATTCCCTCCAACACAGCATTTTTTTTAGCACTTTGCTTCTCATGCAGCCTGGTTCCAGGAAGTAAGGAATGACTTCATTGTTCATTTGAGTGCAATAAATGGTTCGATCTCGGGGTGGTAAAAGGAATGCAGGAGACCTTTTCACATTCAAGTAACTTGTGTAGAAGAAGGGAATTTACTAGGATTTGATCTTTTGAGAACTGCAAATTAGCAGAACTCTCATTAAAGGAATATTCTTATTAAACAGTTGAGTATTCGAGTGGGAAGTTTAGCTTGAGTAAAATAACTCAATTGAATGCACATAAATTCTAGACATAATTGTGGGTAGTCTTAGATTTAGTTGATTGTAGGCCTTAAGTAACAATCCTATTTAATGAATTACAAAAGTTATGTTTATTTCATAGTTGCATGGACTTAGTTTACTCATTTTTGATTGTGTGACATACTTAACTATGCAGAGATGCTGAAAGGCCATAACCTCAAGGTGGCATAAATGCCCATTTGATAGCTCTCTAGGATGTTTGCTCTCAATGGCATTTTGATTAGTAAAACTTTAGTGATTTATGAATGCTTTGATTTTTTTTCCAGGCTAAGACTACAAAGAAGATTGTGCTGAGGCTTGAGTGTGTTGAGCCCAACTGCAGATCTAAGAGAATGCTGGCTATTAAGAGATGCAAGCATTTTGAACTGGGAGGAGATAAGAAGAGAAAGGTATATAATTATGGGTGGAAGGTGCACTCTTTTATATAGCTTTATTTGGAGAGGTGAACATTTCTATTCTCATTGTGACATAGAGCTTGGGCAATCATCTCAATAACTAGATCGATAGCTGAAGGCATAAGGCTTTTTGGTGTTGATTTTGCTGTAAGTAGGAAAGGAAGATTTAGGAGACTTGATACAGCATGGTGATCTTTTTAGGAATAGATGATCTTGGTGGGGCAGTTCTTTGCAAAATAAAAAACTCAATATTTTTTTTCTGTTTTATTACAGGGCCAAGTGATCCAGTTCTAAGCGTCTTTTATTATGAAGACAATAAAATCTTGAGGTTATGTTAATTACTTCAATTGGTTGCCTTTGGTCTTTTGGGAGGGAATAAACTAGAGCCATCAATAAAATCACCCATCAATAAAGTCATCCTTGCGGGGAAATTTATGGTTCGTGATTGTTCTGGGTACTACTTGGATTGGATCTGGCTGGTTGAGCTCACAACAGATGTTAAAGTTAGCTGATTGGGTGCTTTAATCCCTGGGGGCTAAGTAGAGACTTAAATGTTTTAGGCTAATAGAAGTCAGTTACGGATAAATAGTGAATATAAGGTTTACTACTAAGTGTTAAATCTCTCACATACCTTTTAGTACTCCAGTTACTTAAGTAGGGAATTTTGGCCCTGTTCTCTAGGCTTGGTGTGACATGTATAATATATATTGTCTCTGAACTTAATTCTTTACCCCCTTAAACATTTCGACATATCCCCTTCAACATAGTCTATCCATTTTTAAAAATGCCTAACAGGGCCAGGCGTGGTGGCTCATGCCTGTAATCCTAGCACTCTGGGAGGCTGAGGCAGGAGGATCGTTTGAGCCCAGGAGTTTGAGGTTGCTGTGAGCTAGGCTGATGCCACGGCATTCAAGCCCGGTCCACAGAGCAAGACTGTCTCAAAAAAAAAAAATGCCTAACAGTTAATTTGCAAATTATATATCGTTTTTCTCTTATACTTCTGTGTTCAGCTCTGCAGTTCTGCAGCAAAACTGTGGTGAAACAATGATACACATTTTGATCACTGAAGTGCACCTCAACAGGGTGGAGCAGTTTTCCAAATTAGTTTATGCATCTGTGGATGAGTATATCTGGGTTTCATGATTTTACTCCAATTTTTATCAACTGCCAATATTCTTCCTCCAATTTTAGTGAAAATAACTGGTAATCATCTGACAGGCAAAAAAGTTACTCCAATGTGTGCTTTTGTGTTTTGAGTGGGCCTTTTGGTACTGTTGTGCATTCAGGATGGGTGAGTTGCATGCCTCATTTCTACTCATGTGAGAGAAAGGTGATTGTGAAAGGGAGGAAATAAAGGAGCAGGCTTAACTACAAGTTCTCAGGCAAACCAATTGTAGGAAAAGTAAGATAATTAGACTGTCTGGAAATTACCTTCGAATTATCCATACCCACATACCTCAGTTTGAAAGATCACTGTTCTGAACACTGGTACACATACTTGTCTTCTGTCTTTGATCATAGTGTATCGAGTTACTCTTTGGTGACAAGTCTTTGATCATAGGGTATCTAGTTATTCTTGGTGACAAGTAAACTGCTTTTGTTGGATCTAGATTACAACCTGGGGATTTGAGTTTGTCAGGCTACTTTTTGTCCTTCATTCGAGGAGGCAGGTTTCTTTTCATTTTCCTTTTGCCCTAAGATTGTAAGCAGCACCTTCTAAATACCTCAGTAGGCAGCAGTGTAGTCAAGAGCTTGGGTTTAAATCCCGGGTCTGCAGTTTACAGTGGATAAACACCCGCTCCAGCAATTTTGTGAGGATTAAAATTAATCAAAATACCTTAAACATCTAGAACAGTGCCTGGCACATTAGTATCCAATAAATTGTAGCTATTATTTCTTAGTTACCTCTGGAAAATTTTATTCAAGGAAATAGAGCTTTTTAAGTGGGAATGGAAGAAAAGGTAAACAGAAGTGGGGTAGTAACTGGCAATAAAATACACATTTTAAATTAAGGATTTTGATGTGTGGCTTCTCTTTTCTACCCGAAGCAAAACAGTGCCTGTGGGATTTATTCGAATTTTTAACTCTGAAGTCCATTCATAGAATCCAAGCTCCCTTTTCACAGGAAGGAGCTGTGTGATGTGGCAGGCGGGATTACAGGCCACTCCTCGACCCAGGGAAACAATTGAGATGGTATAAGAGCGAGGTCCACCAATCTCCTGACGGTTTATTACAGCTATGGCCCAGGCTAAGTCTGCGAGAGGTCGTTCCCACACTTCGAAGTTGCTAGCCTGAAAAGCCGAGAAAATAGATGTGATTGCTTAATAACTGGCAATGAGCTGCCTTGTTAGTTTAGCATTCAGTTTTACTGTCAGAACTATGCAGCACTTGTAGGAAAAATTAAAATTATCCTGTAGCATATTTTAGAAATAAAGTAATGGTTCTAGCAAAATGTCTGATTACTGATTGTAGTAGCAAGATCAAGGGAAAAAATATTCACAAAAGATCAGTTCATGTCCTCATATATAACAGATTTAGGCCCAAGAAAAACTTGGTATTGGGTATAAAGCCATCCTAAAATGCATACGTGAAATAAATATTTGGCTGAATTGTAAACTAGAGAGGGCAGGAGAACATGTTTCTGGCCGGTTCCTGTTTTCTCCCATAGAGCATTATTTACTATACCTTTCTAAGCTGGTACCCCTGCTTGCCCAAGGGGTCCTGGTTGATGGCAATTACATCCTTATACTGAAGCAGAGCTTTGGCTTGAGGGCTGATGTTTCGGAGGTCATTAGACATGAGTAAAGGAGCTGCCATGATAGCCCAGAGGGCCATCTGAGTTACTTGCTGATCCCAGCTGAGGCCAAAGTTGCCAATTACTAACTAGGACAAAGAATAAAATAAAGAGAAGATGAAACATTCTTAAGTTACCTAGGTGACTCATTGAAGCCACTTTGCATAGCACCATGGTCTAAGTATTCTCACATAAAGCCTCCTCCCAGGAACTTTTCCTCTACTTACCTTGAATGTCAAATAGGAAACAGGCCTACTGCGGGGTTTTGAACAAGGAGGGCTCAAGTTTTTACCATATCTGGGTCATTCCAACCCCCTGGTCCAGCAACATGAACAATTCTCTCTTGGTGAGAAGATGTCCAGTCCAAAATACTCTTCACACTTTGCCAGGAATCAGAAATGTCAGCAAAACTTCTCCAGTGATTACAGTACTGTCGGATTTCTTCATAATTGGGCTGTGAAAACAGGGATAGGACTGTTCTGTTTACTTTCTACTAACATCCTTGTGAGATGAAAACAGTCAAGTTTAAAAGAGGCACTTGTCTTTAGTTTACAGATTGAAGGTCTCCAGGTCTAAATCCTTACAACGGAATTTTGTTAGAAGTTTGCTTCACAAATAGGCCATATAACTTAAAGTCTCTACTTAAAGTGACCTTAATACTATTTATGCTGGAAATTTACCAAATAGTAACTAGGTGTTGGGATTATGGAGAATTTTTATGTTCTTTACATGTCACTGTACTTTCAAACTTTTCTAAAATTAAGTTATTTATAATCAGAAATAACTAAAATGATCTTCATGAGTAAAATTAAAAGCTGCACTGTAGTCCCAGCTACTCAGGAGGCTGAGGCAGGAGGATCGCTTGAGCCCAGGAGTTTGAGGTTGCTGTGAGCTAGAAGCCACGGCACTCACTCTAGCCAGGGCAACAAAGCAAGACTCTGTCTCAAAAAAAAAAATTAATTAATTAAAAGCTACAAAATTACATAGGACTCCATCAAGCATATAAGAAAACCTGAATCCTAGGCATGTAATCTGTTAATGAGAATGAATAAAAGTTTGTAGATAGGCAGGTGGGATATCCGAGGTTTAAGATGTTGAGGTGAGACTATTCTGCAGAGATTATGAGGAAATAATGGGGATTCAGTCCATAAATAACTTCAACACTTACCATATGCTAGAGATAGAGCCATAAAGTCAGACAAGGTCCCTGCCCTCATGGAGCTTACACTCTAGTGGAAAGACAGGCAATAAACAAGTCAACAAATACTTCTATATAGTGCTAAGCTGTTAGAAGGAAATAAAACAGGTTACTGTGATAAAGAATGAACAGCTATTTTAAAGTAGTTAAAGAAGACCTGTTGAGTATGTGGCATTTGGTCTGAGCCTTCAGTGTTAAGGAGCTGGCCCTTTGAAAATCTTGGGAGAAGAACTGTTAGAGGCAGAAAACTAAAAGCAAGTATAAAGGCTCTGGGGCAGCAATTGGCTTGTGGTGTTCAGGGACAGAAAGAAAACCAGTGTAGCAAGGCAAAGCCTTTGGAGTTTGGAGAGGCAGGCAAGTGATACGATGCCATTTAAATTTTAACAAGATAACTCTGGTGCTGCTTGGAAAATGGATGGGGGTGGGGAGAGAGTGGAAGCACAGAGGTCAGGCTGTCAGAGCAGTCTGGGTGAGAGATGACAGTAGCTTGGAAGGCCAGAGTAGATGCAGTGGAGATGGAAAAAGAAGTGGGCTGACTCAGGATATATTTTGGAGACAGTATTGGAAGCATTGTTGATGGATAAGATGTGAATAATGAGATAAAGGGAAGAATCAAAGATGACTTCCCAGGTGATGGTAGCTTGGACTATAATTCCCACAGTGGGGATGGTGAGAAGTAGTTGGATCCTGGGAGAGAGAGTAGGATAATTACTCTTAAGTAAAGTTGGACTTTGAAGGAGTCCTTTGTTCTCAAGTTCTGAAATTCTATCAGCAACGTTCTTTTGGGTTCTGGGCTCACTATCTCACCTTTTTAAGGGGCGACATATAAAGGGGCCACTCACAGGAGTACACAATGCTTCTGCCAGTCTTGTTCAGGGCCAAGGACATGTACTTGTAACCTGTATGAGAAAACAATGGGTAAAATAAGAGAAAGAAGGGAATTTCCAGCTGGGGCTATATATTTCAAAAAGAAGCTGCCTGGAAGGTCCATGTTTATATTCTAAACTAGCAGCAGGGACAGGTGGTTGCTCTGTGCTTAAATTGCATAAAACATCTCCCAGACTGCTGGCATTGTTCTGGGGAGGTAGTGCAGAGATGGTGTGTATATCAAGGAAAGGCATCAATGAAAATGCTGCTTTTCTTTGGGAGAGGAAGGGGGAGAGGGGATGCTTCTTTCTCTGGGAGAAGGAGAGGGAGACTCTTGGACTCTCTAGATTCATTCCAAAATGATGTTATAACACTCAGGTTTCTCTGCAGAGCGAAAAAATCTTTTGCCTTTTACCAAAATGATGTTATAGAGAGTTATAATTACTAAGTGTAATTAATTCTTAGAGCCCTCCTGAATTAGAAGTGCATAATATTAGCCATAGTTAGGCATGCAGATTTTACACGAATGAATGAATGACCTGAAAGAGGAGAGGTGGGAGCTCTGGCACACTGAGAATAATTATTTCCAATATTGTGACTGGGTATTTAAAATCTGAAGATTAGTTCTTTGGATGCTCAGCTACCTAGGCCTCAAAGTTCTTCCCTTTGCTTGTGGCTAAATCTCTTGAATGAAACATACCATCTGTCAAATGTTGTATACTGTCACAGTGACAACCATCAAATTTTAGCAGATCTACTCCCCAGTCAGCAAATGTCTGGGCATCAATGTCATAGTATCCAAAACTGCCAGGAAAGCCTGCGCAGGTTTTATTTCCAACATCTGCATAAATCCCTAGCTTCAGTCCTTTGCTATGGACCTGAAATGAGAGAAAAAAAGAGTCATCGCAATAGAAGGGCAATCATGAGGTAGCAGAGAGAACCATTCCAGGTCAGAGGCAGAGAGACAAGTGCACTTCACCAGGTATTGGGGGCTTTTTCTTTCCCACAAACCTCCAAAATTATCCAGATGAGTTTGTGGGAGACAATGGACAGATCCCCTAATTCTGCTGAGCTAGTTCAAACTATACATGTGTGCTACAACACAGAACTGAGGAGAAAGCTATCAGCCACACTAACTTTCCTGAGGGGATACTAAAAGTCACCTTTCCAGGGCAATGATAGATTTATCTTAACAAAGACTCTCCTTGACCAAACTTTAGACTTCTCTGAGCCTTCTTCTCCACTAGGCCTTGACCTTGGCTTTCCTTGTCTGTCCTAGCAAGCCCTCTTAGCAAGAATCCTATCAATCCCTCCCACCCTTGATATCTGATCAAGTTCCCTCATACCCCACCCTTGGTGTCTAAGTCCATGGCCTGCCTTTAGCAAGAATCTCCCTACCTTGATGTCTCTTTTCATAATTTAACATCCATTGATCCTCCTCAATCTGCTCATTGGCTATAAATCCCCACTTGTCTTTGTTGTATTCAGATTTGAGCTTGGCTCTTTCCCCTAGTGCAATACTACTGAATAAAATCTGCCTTCATTGCCTTTAACTAGTGTTGGGCTCTATGTCTCTTTAATGATCTCCAGAATATTTTCCCTCTATATTCTAAAGTTGTAGTTTATAGTACAATTGCAATAGCTGCCCAAAGCTTACATAGAAATACATGCACACATATGTCAAGAACCAAGTTCCTTTTTCCTCCTAGAGAATTCTCGGGTTTTAGCAAAAGGAGAACTTCTCCAAGATGGGCCTCAGGAGCTATTGCAAAACACATATCTGCTGATGGAATGCAAATTCTACCTGATAAGCCTTACAATTCAATGTTCAGATAACAGCAGCTATTCTACTTTCTAGATGCCATGAGGGCTGTTTCTGAACAATCTTCTGTATAGCAGTGCTTGCAGTCTTCTGAATGAAAAAGAAAATTATCTATAAACTCACATAATTAGCTAGGTGGCGGATCCCACCAGGAAAGCGCTGAGGGTCTGCCTGAAGTCTGCCTTCTGAATCTCTTTGGGGAGCCATCCAACAGTCGTCAATGCAGAGATACTCATAACCTGCATCCTTCCAGCCATCTGAGACCATGAGCTCTGCCATCTGCATGAAGAGCTGCTCACTGAAAGAGAAATTCTAACAATCACAATTCATTAAATGAACACTTAGGTATCTACTATTTGTTAGGCACCTTGACATTTCACAATTTTTTTTCCAACCCAGTAATAGCATGGTAGTAATCACAACCAATACAAGGTAAAATGAATTGTTCTTCCAAATTTTCTTTTCTCTCCCATACTCCCTTAATACTTCTGCCCTAAAAACCCCAAACAGTTAAAATAGGAATGAGAAATATAGATGAAATTGAAAATATTAGAACTAAGAAGAAAGTTCAGTAGAGTAAGAATGTACAAAGTTAACATAATCAGGCTGGGTGTGGTGGCTCATGCCTGTAATCCTAGCACTTTGGGAGGCCGAGACGGGAGGATCATTTGAGCTCAGCAGTTCGAGACCAGTCTGAGCAAGAGTGAGACCCCATCTCTACTAAAAATAGAAAGAAATTGGCTGGACAACTAAAAATATATAGAAAAATATTAGCTGCGTGTGGTGGTGCACACCTGTAGTCCCAGCTACTCGGGAGGCTGAGGCAGAAGGATTGCTTGAGCCCAGGAGTTTGAGGTTGCTGTCAGCTAGGCTGATGCCACGGCACTCTAGCCCAGGCAACAGAGCGAGACTCTGTCTCAAAAAAAAAAAAAAATTAACATAATCAACAGCTTCCTTAGATACCAACAATAACCTATTTGGAGAAAAAGATCTCATTCACAAGAGCAACCGAAAAACCTAAAATACCTAGAGAAAAATTTAAGATATGTGCAGGGCCTATATGTTAAAACTATGATGCTCCTAAATGATTTGAATAAATGGAGAAACATTATTTTGCTCTTGGATAATAATACTCAAGATTAAAAATAAGCTAATTCTCCCTACAATCCTTTATACATTTAATAAAACCCTTAACATATCCCAAAAGGGCTTTTTAAGGAACTTGGCAAAATAATTCAAAAAGCTCACCTAAAAGATTAAACATATGTACATTCCATAAAAGATAAAGGAAGCTGGTGTAGTACTATCACCATCAGAGTACATAGATTACTGGAATTAAAGAGAAAGTTCAGAAAGAGATCCTGCCACCCATCTGATACAGTGGGACTTAGTATACATTAAATGTGGCATTCCTTATAAGAGAATAAAGTTTAGATGGACTAAAGATTTAAATATTTTAAAAATCCATAAAAATACTAGTAGAGCTGGGTGTGGTGGCTCATGCCTATAATCCTAGCACTTTGGGAGGTCAAGGTGGGAGGATTGCTTGAGCCCAGGAGTCTGAGGTTGCAGTGAGCTATGATGACGCCACTGTACTCTAGCCCAGGAAACAGAGCGAGACCCTGTCTTAAAAAAAAAAAAAAAAAATACCAGTAGAAAATGTAGGTGACTGTATTATCTTTATGTAGGAAAGGACTTTCTCAGCTTGACCCCAAAGCCAGAAATCATAAAGGAAAGAATGATGTGTTTGATTACATAAATAGCAAATCCAGCACATATCAAGAACCACCGTATTAACAATGTATGATAGACCAAAAGAAGAAAAGATGTTCAACCTTGTTAGTAATCAAAGAAATGCAAAGAACCCCTACCAGATTGGCAAAGTTTTAAAAGAATGACAAAAATGCAATGTTGGCCAGGGCATGGCCTGGGAATACACTGTTGCTGGGAATGCACATTTGTAAACCTTTGGGGAGGTCAGTTTGATGCTTATCAAAATCAGCATACCTTTGGGCCCAGTAATTAGTCTTCTAAGAAAAGAATCAGATAAGAAACAGGTGATGGACAAAAATTGAAGAGCCTGAATAGCTATCAACATGGAGATTGCTTAAGTAAGTTATGGTATATACATACAGTTTGCATTTATGAAGCTCTTATTCTGTGCGAAACACTCTTACATTTAGAAAGGGTAATTAATTTGCCCAATGTCACACAGCTAAGAAAGATGTAGAAATCTGAACCCAGGCAGGGTGCCAGAGTCTTTGCCATTAATCATGTATGACATAAACATGATTCCATTTTTTATGGAAAATAATGAAAAAAAATCTTTGTTTTCATTTATATAGAAAACAATTGCAAAATTGTATGTTAACATTTTAACTGATTATTTCTGGGTGATGGAATGGGGGGATCTTTATTTTCATTATACTCTTATTTACTATTTATGTTTTTGGCAATGGCCATGCATTAGTTTTATAATTAGATACAAAAATAAGACAACCACCACTTAAGAAATAAAAGAAGGAAAAGACAAAAAGAAATCCGTGATAGGCACAATTGCCACCCACTGTACCCCAGGGTCACAATAGACTTAGTCTGAAACTTAGAGGGCTGCCGATTTCTTCCGTGATGTCTGACCAACATCCTGAGTTTATCTGTAAAGACAATTCATAGGAATAACTTATGGACACAGAGATGTACTGTGATTGCTGCCTTTAGAGGGGCTTCTGGACCATGGGTGACCTTATTATGTTTTTAACAATATCTATCAGTGATTTTTAACCTTTTTAAAATCACAGAGCCTCCTTTGAGAATCTGAACAAAGGTAAATATCCTCTCTCCAGAAAAATACACGTACTCATATTTGCAGATTTATACTCATTTTCTTATGGATTCCGGGTTAAGAACAATTGTTCTATACGCTCAGTCACTGTGCTATGTACTTTCTAAATGGCTTAGTTCATAGACAGTTCATCTGTTTTACATAAGAGCTATTTTACAGATCTTTCTGAGTTGGCTCCCTGAGGTAAAAAAGTTTTCCCAGTTTAGAAGTTAAGGATGGTGAGGATCAGATAGATTCAATACCTGTCTAATCCAGCCTCAACCCTCCCCAAAAAGTGTAATTGTGGAAACTTCTTCCAGGTCAACCTTCCAGCCTGACGCCACACTCAAGGGCGAGGGCGTGAGGGAGATCTCAGAAACTCCATGGGCTCTCTAACTTCCTCAAGTTACCTTCCAAGGAACCCGTGACCCAAGGAGAAGAAATAGCACAAGTCTTAGTCCCCTCCTACCTACCCCAGCTGTGCTCAAGGGTAGCGCCCGCCAGAGGCAGAGCAGAAGTTCACCAAAAAGGGTCTGAATGGAACCGGACAGGGAAAGAGAGAGAAGCAGGGGCCGCTGGCCAGACTCCCACCCCAGGAAGTGTCATATGGAGAAAGTTTAGGGCCAGTCCCAAGCCAGGACAGTTTGCTGGGGACAAAAAAGCAGCAGCAGTAGGGGAGCTCTTCCTTGGGTTCAAATGTTCCCGCAGAAACACCAAACACACGGAAAAGCAAAGGGAAGGGGGCACCCAATATCTGATACCTGATGCAGGAATCCGGCTCTTCCTGGCAGTCAAGGTTGCACATGAAGCGCTCCCAGTGCAGCCAGCCCATGGTAGGCGTTATAGCCAAGCCATTGTCCAGTGCTCTGGCCCTAGGGATACCCCAGGGAATCAACGCCAAGAAGCAAAGCGCAAGCGCACAGCCCAGCTGACGTTCTGTACTCCTCAGCTGCATCGTCACTGTGATCATACAGTAAGGATTTCCGCGGGTAACCTGGGCTTTTAAGTTTAACCTCAGGGGCGGACCAATAACCGATGAGCTATTAAATAATGACGTCATTGTTTCTCAGGCAACTGGGACGGTTATCCCCGGAGGCAAACCAATGATCAGTCACATAAGACGTACCCCAAACCAATCACATTCTTCCTTTTTTTTGATATCGGCCCGCCTTATTTCCATACCAGAAGGAAGTGCGGCACCTTAGTGATCCGGAGTTTAAGCCGAGAGTCACTCACGTGACCCAGATCTCACATGACGTAGGTGCTCACGTGATCACTCGCTTACGTGAGCAGAAGTAGTTCTGGTCGTCGTCTACCGTCTCGCTATAGCCGTTTGAGGGAAGAAGGAGGAAAATTACCCGGTATCGTTAGAGGTTGGTGTGTGGGTGGGAACTGGGGACCCGGGGGTGGTGATGATGAAGACCAAAGCGGGGTCCGGGGGCCGCCTCCGCCTTTTTCGTTCTCTGCTTTCCCCTCCCCCCGCTCTCCCTCCCTCCTCCCCCCATCTCAGTGCCGGGAAGCCGCCTTTGCTGCGCCTGGTGGGGAAATGGTGGACGTTCGTGACTGTGTCTGTGTTTTTGCGTATCTCTCTGTCCGGGCCGATCTCGGGGGACCCCTAAGAGTGACCGTAAGGTGAAAAACGTTTGAAAACCACGGCCCTGAGTTAGGAAAAACAGATATTGAGACCAGTGGGTCTGAGTGCTGGTCCATCCATTCAGGCACTCAGTCTCCACTGCTTGATTGTCTGTAGGGGCAGGCCCCAAGTGAATTATATCTGTAGAGTCACATCTAAGCAAATGCTGTGTGCGTGACAGAGACGCCCAATAAATAATTTCACTGAATTGAGTATTTAGATAACGTTTATTTTTCTGTTTATAACAATCTACATGTTCAATTTCGAACATTTAAAAAATAACAGTATACTATAAATTTTTAAAATACACGTAATTCACCACCCAGAGGTAAATATTCAACCTTATGTCGTTACAATCGTAAAAAAGTATTTGTATAACACACATATAAATACACAGATTCTTAACTCACAAATAGAGTTCTGGTTCCTACTTCAGGCATCAGAGTCCTGGTGGCCTTCCCAGGAGATGCAGTAAGGAAGCAGAACCTCCCTGCCACTACAGAGGGGCTGTTAAGGCATAGATTGCTGCAGGAACATTAAATGGGATGGGTCATCCTAGGGGTAAGGCAGGCGAAAAAACAGTCCATAAATCTCAGTGAGACCTTAGGATGGTTTATAGGAAGACTGTTATCACTGCAGATGCAGTGTGTCAGGCACATAATAGGCAATTAGTAAACGTTTGTTAAATTGAATCCTCATTGTACTTTGATGGCACTTATTACACTTTGTACTTGCTTTCCAAGAGGCCCAATGTTCCAGACCATGTCAGATAAACTATCCACATACAAAATTACAAAATTTTGTAAAATTTGTTATACGAAATCTCAGAAAAGCAAGCATATTTTTAATTTGTTTTATGTTACTTTTTCTTGCTGAAGTCAACGTAATTATTCTTTCTGTAGAAAATTAATTAAGACTTCACAAAAAATTGGAAAAATGAAATGGAAAAAGCCATAAACCCACTATTCAGAATAACCACTATTAAATTTTCTAACATTTTTTTTTTTTTAGTTTCTCCACTTTTGAAGGATAACTTTTTTTTTATTCCAATACAGTGAGTTTGAAGAATTAAAACTGTATAGGGTAAAAAGTGAAAATCCCACTTCACTCCCCCTACTCTCCAGTTCTTCTTTTCTTACAAACAAGTTTGTTTCCAGATCTTTTATGTATTTACATACATATGTGCGTGCATGCTTATATTTTAATGTAAGCAGGATCATACTATGTATATTCTTTCATTTAATATATTTTGGAGATCTTTCTAGGTCAGGCTAGATCTTTAAACATCTTCATAGTATTCCATTTTAAGGATAAAGTATAATTCATTCAGCCATCCTCTGTTGATAACTGTTTAGGTTTCTAACTTTCTGCCATTACTGACAGTGCTGCAAGGAACATTTTAAAGTATTTCTGTTGACTAGATACCTGGAAGAAATTCTAGCAGTGTCAAAGGGTATATGAACATATATTTTTTACGTAGCTGACATTATAAAGTAGTTGTGATCTTGGGTTGCCTAAGATACCATAAGTAGTTTCTCATGTTATTAAATATTTTTACAACTTTAAAAATTAAATATGTAACATTCCATTTAAAAAAAATACTTTTCAAAGAATATATACCGCCATAAATCTTTGTCTGAATTTTAGATCATCTCCTTAGGGCACATAACCTGAAGTGGATTTACTGTTAAAAGGTGCTATACATATCACCAAATTGCGTGCCATCAATTTTCACTCCTCTAGTAGTATATTAGTTTGTGAACCCTGAACAGCACTGACTTACTGTTTAATTTCCACCATCTTGATGGGTGAAAAATGGTGTAAGTTCTGGTTTTAACTTGCATTTCCAATGATTGATGAGGTTTGAACATTTCCCAGACTCATCTCCTGTATCCTCCTAAACCTGTATTCCCACATGCTTAAACTGTTACCAAGTCTTGCAGATTCCTATTTTTGTATATGTAGATCATATATTCCCCATTTTACTGCTATTTTCTTAGGTGAATCCTTTAACATATCTCCAAGAGACGGGTTCTGACTAATCTCCCTAGTTTCACCTCAGCCCCCTTCTGTTCGAGTGCCACACGGTTGCCAGGGAGATCTGTCTGAAAGGGTTCTGATGAAGTCACTCCTCTCATTCTAGGCCTTTAGGATCTGCTCTCTACCTTGCCAGCCTTATCTCTTGCTTTGTCCCCTCCTATTTATGTTCCATCATAATTTTAAAAATTTGTTTATGTATCCCTGTATGGGTTAGTCTGTTTCATTTAACCATTCTGCCTCCAACAGACAGAATTGACCAACTAGTCCCTTCTTGATACTACGATTACATCCTGCACAGAGTTCCTTTATAGCAGGTATAATGTATATTTGCACTTACATCTTTTAGTAAAGATATACAGTGCCCCTGTAGGACCATAAACCCTTTGTGAGCTTATTGATTCTTGTATGCCAGAGCTGAATACTGGACCTGGCAACTGAAAAATGTTTGTAAATGAATGCATGAATTCCGAATAATGTCTTTTTTATTTATCTTTTAGGCCCAAATAGTTCCCTGATTTTATTGATTTGCATGAGTTCTTTATATAATCATATTAATGTGTTTTATTTTATCCTTTAATTGTTTAATCTTTTGATCTAATGAAGTTTTTACTTTTATAGAATCAGGTATAGCCATCTTTTATTTGTTGACATCATCCACTGATTTTCTTACTGTTGTTTATTTATTTATATATTTTTTGGAGGCAAAGTCTTGCTCTGTTGCCCCCAGATAGAGTGAAGTGGGGTGATCATAGCTCACTTCAATCTCAAACTCCTGGGCTCAAGCGATTCTCTCACCTCAGCGCTCCAACTATACAGGTTCATGCTACCATGCCCAGCTAATTTTTTCTGTCTTTAGTAGAGATGGGTTCTGGCTCTTGCTCAGGCTCGTCTCGAACTTCTGACCTCAAGCAATCCTCCTGCCTCGGTCTCCCAGAGTGCTAAGATTATAGGCATGAGCCACCATGCCTGGCCTTCTTGTTGTTGATTTTTTAAGCCTTTTTATTTTCCCACTATGATGTTAATACACGGTCAATGCAGAAAACTTAGAACGTACAGAGAGGTCCAAAGAAGAAAAATTCTCTGAAATAAAAAGCTCCCATAATCTTACTATCCAGAAATAACCACCATTAATGGTACTCGACACATAATAGGCATTGAATAAATAGTTGTTGAATAAATGAATGAGTTAAAAATTTGGTACAGTATTTATACAGATGTCTTACCAAAGAAAGCTATTGGCATAATTGAGTTTTGTATTAATAGGTTGCTTTTTTACTATATTGTGAATGTTTTTCCATGACAATAGTCCTCTAATTTCTTTTTTTCAGCCATACCGTAATCTCATTGAGCCAAGCTTGCCATCCAGAGCCCAACAGTCACCATGATGCTGAGCACAGAAGGCAGGGAGGGGTTCGTGGTGAAGGTCAGGGGCCTGCCCTGGTCCTGCTCAGCTGATGAAGTGATGCGCTTCTTCTCTGATTGCAAAATCCAAAATGGCACATCAGGTATTCGTTTCATCTACACCAGAGAAGGCAGACCGAGTGGTGAAGCATTTGTTGAACTCGAATCCGAAGATGAAGTGAAATTGGCTTTGAAGAAGGACAGAGAAACCATGGGACACAGATACGTTGAAGTATTCAAGTCCAACAGTGTTGAAATGGATTGGGTGTTGAAGCATACAGGTCCGAATAGTCCTGATACTGCCAATGATGGTTTCGTCCGGCTTAGAGGACTCCCATTTGGCTGTAGCAAGGAAGAAATTGTTCAGTTCTTTTCAGGGTTGGAAATTGTGCCAAATGGGATGACACTGCCAGTGGACTTTCAGGGGCGGAGCACAGGGGAGGCTTTTGTGCAGTTTGCTTCACAGGAGATAGCTGAGAAGGCCTTAAAGAAACACAAGGAAAGAATAGGGCACAGATACATTGAAATCTTCAAGAGTAGCCGAGCTGAAGTCCGAACCCACTATGATCCCCCTCGAAAGCTCATGGCTATGCAGCGGCCAGGTCCCTATGATAGGCCAGGGGCTGGCAGAGGGTATAATAGCATTGGTAGAGGAGCTGGGTTTGAAAGGATGAGGCGAGGTGCCTATGGTGGAGGGTATGGAGGCTATGACGACTATGGTGGCTATAATGATGGATATGGCTTTGGGTCTGATAGATTTGGAAGAGACCTCAATTACTGTTTTTCAGGAATGTCTGATCATAGATATGGAGATGGTGGGTCCAGTTTCCAGAGCACCACAGGGCACTGTGTACACATGAGGGGGTTACCTTACAGAGCCACTGAGAATGATATTTATAATTTCTTCTCACCTCTTAACCCCATGAGAGTACACATTGAAATTGGACCCGATGGCAGAGTTACTGGTGAGGCAGATGTTGAATTTGCTACTC